TCCATGTATAAAGGATACAGGACCTTCCTGCCTCGTGGAAGTTCAAACAGGAAAGTATGGCAATAAGCAACTCATCAGGCAAGTCGTCAATCCCACACTTGGAGAGATCCTGCATTTGAAGACCCTCTTCTTCATTTGAAGACCCTCTCCTTCTGCTCAAGACTCTTACAGTCTTGATTTTTGTCTTTGATCTAAGACTCTCATAGTCTTGATCCTTGATACAAGACTCTCTCAGTCTTGATGCCTTTTCTTCACGAAATGCCCCCATATATATAGATATAGGGGCTTCCACTAGCAGATATGAAGGGACAATATACAAAGGGGCAATTCTGTCATTGTGCTTTGCCCAGTCAAAGCACTAATAAGCACTTAACCATTTAATGGGGCACTTACCCACGAAATGGCTCTCTTCAGAACTTATTTTTGTTTGTGGATCACTCAGCCTTCATGGTGGAACACTCAGCTCTTCTGGTGGAGCACTTAGCCCACTGATGGAGCACTGGTCCCACCTCCCACTGAACCAAGCCTTTACACACAACATTACTAAATCTGATCCTATCTTATAGTTGACATCCCCCAACTATATAGGCCATTATCTTACACGAAATGACATTAGCTACAAGCACTAAACAGACATGGATACAAGTCATTATAAAAATACAACGGCCCACTGCTTTGGCATGTGCACTACATGTGCCCTTTTTCTTTGTCAGCTATTGCACGCCCCAAGTCTGGCATTGCACCCAACCTTGGCTGATTCTGACATTGCTCCACGCCAATGTCTCATCCGCAACCTGCTGTCCATGATTTTACCGCACACGCCCGACGCCTATCGGCCGCACATTGCCTTAGCCGCATTTCTGCCTTGTCTTTGTCAACACTTGTTTCATCCGTGCCATTGCTTGTCTTTTGTCTCACATAACTTTGCCTTAGCTATTGAAACCCTTTGCCATCATTCCGTGCCTCCGTGATTTAGCTTTGCTTGTACTTGGCGCTCCCACAACTTGAACTCCCCGTACCTTTGTCTTTGGCGCGCATGCCGCTTCATGCCGCCCAAACTTGCCCGCACTGCCTCATCAAGCCTTTGCCAAGTCGATATTGCTTGTCTCAAGACCTTGGCCACTACTTGTTCTCATGACAATGTTTCTCGTCCATTGTCCCGCATGATCGTTTTGCTCCCGCATAGGCCAACAGCAAGGCCATCACATCCCAATCCTTGCCATAGCCGTGCCACGTCCGATTGACAAAGAATCGGGTCCTAACAAATCACCCGCACCCTTTGAAATCGACGTCCTCATCGAGCCGACTTAATGGATCTGCCCCAAGGAGTTGTTGACAGACAACGCCCTTATTGCTCCATTCCATAAGAGAGTTTCCCGCACTTTGACAATTCTTGCTCTCACGAACTGTTCCATCCTTGGCGCAGTTCAGCATTTTTGCCACAAGCCATGTTCTCAAACAGCAACATTCCGTCTGCTACTGATCGTCTTACCACTGCCATGAATCTTGCTCTGCTCCGATACTCGTCTATCAAAGTAGTTCTGCTAAGCACGCTGCTTCACTCTGATACTAGTTGTATCAGAATAATTCCGTCTCAGCTTTGATACCAGTTGTCATGGGGTCAATTTGGGCCAATTTTTTGCGCCTAACTTGACACGTGCGGCATCAACCTGATACTTAAGTTACTCAGCCTTTTCCAACACTTAGCCAACTTTTCATCAAGTTTGGCTTCCCACAAGATTTGGCAGCAACATAAAGAGAACACCAATATTTACGGGAAAAACCCAACCTTTGAATTAATAACAAAATATACAAAGGACCCCTCTTTGCCATGAACACAAACCATTCACAGCCCACTTCGTCCGGCCAAGATCATAAATAGATCTTGTCACACTAAGACCTGCCAACGCTCCAGCCTTAGCCCACTTTCGGAAACACTTAGAAACCCTCACGTTTCCCTCTTGGTTCCCATTTTGCTATGAACACAAGTCGTTCATA